CACCTGGAACACCTGCAGTACCTGCAGCACCAGGCTGGTAGGCCAACATATGTTACAGAACATTTTGGTTTCCGATTGGATGTCTGTGAAGCTGAAACCGCTGATGACTGTACGGTGAATATTATTAAAAATGATTAAAGTTGTTTTCCGTCTGACGTGGAACCAACTGGCCAATAACTGACCTGGATCGGATCTGAATGGTCCAATCAGAGCAGAGAGCTGCTGTCAGAGCTCAGTGTAACAAATACGGAGCAACAACAGACACAACATGACCACAAAAAGTCATGGTGATGTTAGCAACATTAGCTGCACAGCCTGCATGCACCCAGGATTCTCCTGTAGTTGTGGGGACCACCAGTACTGCTCTGGGTGTTCAGCTCCTCAGACGCTGGCGGTGCATCGACACTCTTGTGTTCACTCTTGCAACAGAACATTTGAGGAGTTTTCCTCACGCTTCAGATGCTACAGTCCTACAGAGTTTAGCGGAAGAAGCCTGATGGCCTGAGAAGCAGCTGCTCATTCTGATTGGTTCATCTGGAGGCAGTGAGGGGGCGGGGCTATACGAAGCTGGAACACTATTGGTCAGTCAGATGTCAGTAAAATGGTGACTGGCTTGTAAAGCAGAAGTAAATGTCTTTATGTTTGAACATCGTTTGTTTTACACCTTCATGTTTACAACCACCAGAAAACAAGACCAGTGGATTTCACTGAGTGGGAGCTTTAAGGTTCTACCTGAGTACCATCAAGTGTGACGGCTTTCTCCTAGAACATCACATGACCTGGCAGGGAGGAGACAGGAAGCAGATTACAACACGAAGGCAACGGTGAGAACGGAAGCATTCAGCATCAGAACATCAGCAGCGACTCGACTCCGACCACCTGCAGACCAACATGTCCTCCAAATACGCTCTGCTCGGTGAGAACTTTACAGCTTTCACTAACTTTCTGCTCAAACTCACGTTTCTGTGATCAGTCTTAGCTTTAGACTAAGTTTACTTGTATTTGTGTTCTTAGTATCCACATTGTGTACAAGGCGTACAGACCTCGCCTCTTTCATTCAGACTTGCTTTGTTTCTTTCAGCACGTTGTGTTTATGTTTCAGTCTTGTTCCCGCTGATGGAGAGATGCTGCGTGAATATATTTGAGCTTCTTACTCATAAAAGTGAAATCTGTTCAGTCTGCACAGTCGTTTGATGAGATGTCTGTATGCTACAGTTTAGAAACGTAAAGGTTGCACAGTTTTTGAAAATTGGATAAAAATACTAAAACGTGAGGTTTTTGTTAGTGGTCTGCTGTCAGCTGACTTCCTCAAAAAACTGTCTTCAACAGGAAAAAGCCGTCTGCTGTGAGTTATCACATAAAAGTGTTGCGTTGTTTCCGTTATGAAAACCAGACAACCACAGAATTCATTGTTATTTCAGGTCACACTGCTGTGATGACTGACGGCAGCCAATCAGGTGTCTCTGTGAAGGCGGCGTCCTCCAATCAGCATCAGCGCTGTGAAAACACAACGTCTGGCTGTAAACGTTCTCATGAACACAGTTCTGTTGCAGCTCTTTATTTCTGATGTTCTCTGATGAAAAGATCCCAGTTCAGCGCTCTCAGCCCCAAAACCAGAACGTCACCGTTTTAAAGAACGTTTATCGGCCGTTCCAGTGTTCTGACTGTCCTTAAACTACTCCTGTGTGGTGTGTCATTGGGTCGGGAAGTTCTGCTTCCAGATGTTTCATCAAATCACTTTATTCAATGTTCTTGTTGTGAGTTACTCAGAACAAAGTTTGTGTAACGGTAGACGAGTTCTTCCATTTTGACAAAGACTGAATCACGTTGGACAAGTTTCAGCCAATGCGGATCATTCTGAGTGACTCAGATTTATTTATTTTTCTTTGTCATTTGGATGCTTTCGTTTGTGTTCTTGAACATTCATGATGGTCCATCATGACTTGGTCCCCGGCGGTGGACAGTCAGAGTTCTACTGTAACATCCTGAAGAGTCTGACAGGAAACATCCACCTGAACTGAGGCGATCAACACCGGCTCAACGTTTGGACTCGGTTCAGGAGCTTCAGCTCATCACAGATGGAGCCGAGGTGTTTCCAGAGCAGGACGTAGACAGTTCCAGACGTTACAGGAGCTCTGGGAGCAGAGCAGCACTGCACAGGGAGGCCGCTGAGGGCAGAGGGTAGGGAGGGTAGAACCAGTCCGGTTTCTGATGTTCACAGAAAGTCTCTGAACTTAGTGCTTGCAGCTCGTACGTCCCAGCGGTCGGGTTGGTCGCTGACTGTTCCACTGATGTCTCGCTGCCAATCACCAGCTCACGCTGATTCGTTTCAGGGTTTCATGTGCAATAATATAAATCAGTGTTAGAATGCTCCATGTACTCTGTTACCATCACTAACATGCTGTGAAACTGTCCAACAGGACCAGCAGAACCAGACGTCAGGATGGTGCTAGTTGGGAGAACTGGAGCTGGAAAGAGCGCCACAGGAAACACCATCTTAGGAAGAATAGCTTTTGAATCCACATTATCTCCATCTACAGTCACATCAGAGTGTCAGAAAGAAGAAGCAGAGTTTGGTGGTCAAATTCTGGCTGTGGTCGATACTCCAGGTCTGTTTGACACCAGCAGACCTGAAGAGGAGCTGATAAGGGAGATGGTTTTGTGCATCTCGTTGTCTGCTCCTGGTCCTCATGTGTTCCTGGTGGTGGTCCAACCGAATAGATTCACCAAAGAAGAACAAGAAACTGTGAAACGCATCCAGACGATTTTTGGAGAACAAGCAGCACGTTACACGATGGCTCTGTTCACCCATGGAGATGATCTGAAGGATGAAAGAGTCTTCATCGAAGAATTCATCGGCAAAAACAAAGATCTCTGTGAGTTCATCGGTCAGTGCGGTGGAGGATATCACGTCTTCAACAACAAAAACCAGGATCACTATCAGGTCAGAGAGCTGCTGGAGAAGATCAACACGATGGTTCAGAGAAACGGAGGAAGCTTCTACACCAACGAGATGTTAGAGGGGGCTGAGAGAGTGATTCAAGAAGAGATGGAGCAACTCCAGAGAGAAGATCCACATATGGATCCTAAAGAAGCAAGAAGACGGGCTGAGAGAAAAAACAAGTTCATTCAGAATGTTCTAGCTGCCTTTGGAGGGGTTGGTGGAGCTGCTGCTGGAGCTGGTGCTGGAATTGCAATTGAAGTGGCTGGTGGAGGAGCCATCGGTGCTGTGGGGGGTCCAATTGGAGCTGCTGCTGGAGTTGTAGTTGGAGCTGCTGTGGGTCTTGCTGTGGCAGCTATACGTGCGGCAGTAAAGAAAAGAAAGAGTGTTACTCAGTGATTTCACTGCGATCAGCTGTCTGCAGCTCATTAAAGCTGAATTAAGCTGCAGATTCTACAATCATCTCTGTCATATCTATAATCTATCAATAATCACAGGAACAGGCTGGAAGCATCTGATCACTTCTGGTGTTTCTTGTTTGTCAGAGTCGACTGATGGAGGAGTTGTGGGGAGTTGAACCATCAGTGAACAAACCAGTCTTGTGTCTCTCTGCTACATGTGGCGCCGCTCTGCTGGACAAACTGTGTACGACACCGTCTTCACCTGCATCATGTTCTGTTGGAAGGTTTTCACATCAGACAACCAGACGCTGATCCACATATCTGATAATCTCACATTACTGGTGGTGAGATGAACCTGAACAGGAAACGTGATTTTATGTGACGTGTGTTGAAGCTGCAGACGAATGAAGGAACGCTCAGTTTGATCTGTTGCATCCTGAATCACAGAGATCAGTAATTCAGCTTCTGCTCTTGTGCTGACGTTCTGGTTTGAGGAAGACAAAATCAGACGTTGGTGCTGATGGAAGGCTCCAGTTTGCTTCATGTTTCTGCTGTTCTTCATCTGACAATAAATATAAAGATACCAAACCTGCAACTTCTAATAACTTGTTTAACTGTAAACTACATTGTATAATTCATCCTACATCCACCCAACCGGTGGAGGCAGATGGCCGTCCCTCCCTGAGCCTGGTTCTGTCGGAGGTTTTTTTCCCTCTGTGGAGGTTTTTGGTTCCTTCCCACCAGCAGACTGCTGAAGCTTATAGAGAATCCAGATGTTTGGATTGTTGGGTGTTTCTGTTTCTGCCTTTGTGAAGCGCTATGAGATGACTGTTGTTGTAAATATGCGCTATACAAATAAAATTGAATTGAATTGAATTGAATTGAATCCCAGCTTTATTCTTCCATCACAGAGAAACTGAACCACATGTCAATAAAAAGTGTCTCCATGAATAAAGTCATTCCTCTGATGAGACTCTGTAAAGAACTAATCACATTTCACCAGGTGTTGAGTAGAACCTGATGTGGTCATGTTGGACCAGACAAGGTTCCTGTATGTAGATGTTCAGACTGAATGTTGATGTGGATCATTGGGAGGAACCAGAACCTGGTGTTCTCACGTTCCAGATGTTGGTTCCAGATGTATCACGGTGGTGACAGAAGAAGAAAAGCAGACGGATGATGCACCAAAAGCAGCTGTACTCAGCCCTGATTGGTTCAGAGACAGGTGTGTCTGAGCCCAGAGACGGACCAGACAGACTCGACGGACCTTATTATAGGATGTGCAGGTGTCAGTCATTAGTCCTCTGCTGCCTCCTGCTGGTCAAACACTGCAGCTGCTGCTCCAACAGTAACACGGTTCCGGTTCTGGTTCGTCTACACATGGAGGCTTCACTCACTGAAATGTGACACTTTGCTGCTTTAAAGTCTGTTTCCACAGAAAAACTCCCTTCAGACACGTGAGCATCACAGCTGGTCCCTGATAACCAATTTCAACAACCATAGATATCCTGCAAGGTTCTGACCTGGTCCTAAATGATCCTGAACTGGTTCTGCAGGGTGACGACGGGCCCTGCAGGGTTCTGAAGCAGTTCCAGGTGAGCTGTCTGGAAACTTTAAACCCTCAGTGACTGATGAGCAGCGAACCTTCAAGGCTCCTGAAGGGTCTGTTGCTCCGTCGTGTCGATTCCCTCTCAGTCT